CAGGGTCACTGGCTAATCACAGGAATATGTCCTCGATTCTGTCAATCAATCATATCATTAAATTGATTAAAGGCATAATTATGAGTCAGGTGCCGGTGCAGTGGTACTGCATCTGGACCCACATAAGAAGATGTTAGATTCATGTCACAGGACCTCCGTGTGTTCACCACGTGCATGAGTGTGTGGTAGATTGCCTGTCAGGATGTGTCTGTCTCCCCTCACCCTCTCTCTCTAAATGATGAAATAGATAGGTACATTTTTAAAAAACACATAGTAATGTTTATCAAATTTATAGATGACAGGGCCAGACAGTGGCAAATTAGGTGCTCTTCAAGGAAGTCCCACATGGCAAAGATTCCAGTTCAAATCCAGAGACCTCCCTCAGAACACTTGTCACATACATGCCCATGCCCTGGGACTACCTGAAGGCTGGGGGTGGACCACAGTGTCAGGATATATAATTATATATAAAATATATAACGTGTATTACATATAATATAGATAGATAGATAGATAGATAGATATAGATAAAGCATAAAGATTGCCACACACTAGACCTCAAAAACTATTTGTTGAAAGAAAGAAAGAATGAGTAAATAAATGGGTTAAAACTAACAAAGTGAAATTTATCAAATACAATTAATTTATTCAGGTACAATATAGACTGAACATGATTTGATAGCAAACTAGATAAATACCATCCAGATACAGTTCATCACCAGCTCAACTTAAGCCACAAGTCCAATTAACATAGATAAAATAGCTAGAGAAATTGACCTACACATCATATGCCTAGAGCAGATGATGTGTAAAATACTGAATTCCTTCTGCGCATCATTATCTAAATTGACCTTGGTAAACTAGAGTTTAACAACTCTATCCTGTCCAAGTATCCAGGATATTAAGAAGTGAGAAATCTTGTCAGGAGATATAATTGAAGCATCTGGGATATTTAACAGGGAAAAAGAAAAGAAAACAGAAAAAACAAATATGCTGCAAACATTTGAAGGGCTGTCATAGCAAAGATAGAGTCAGACATTCAGTGTACCCCCCAAAGAAGGCATATGGAATCTCACTTTAGTACAAGGAATTAAATCTGTCCAAAAATGAATTAGTCTACATCCAAAAAGAGGGCACACTTTATCACTCTAAAGGCTCAAGAAAAACCTAAATAATCTTTCAGGAGCTTTGCAGATAAATTATTCCTGTTTTAGGTAGAACATTGGCATAGATGATTTAAAGAGCCTTTCTTGGCCTAATATTCTATGATTCTGAAATTCTTATTCCTGAGGGTCTTGCCACTTCCCTCTTCAGCACTATTAAAGTCTGTATTTTTCTTGACTTATATTTTTTCAACTTAATACCTGATCAGGTCTACCTGTTCTATTGCACCTCCCTTTATTCTTATTTGATCATGAGATAGTTCTGCTGTGAAGATTAATTTTCTGTGTCAGTTTCACTGGACTAAAAGATGCCCAGATAACTGGTGAAACATTACCTCTAGATGTGTCCATGAGACTGTTTTCAGAAGATAGCAGCATTTGAATCAGTAAAGAAGCAAAGAAGATGGCCTCACCAATGCAAGAAAGCATCATTCAGTGTCTTGTGGGTCTAAGTGGAATAAAAAAGTAGAGCAAGTGTGAATTAGCTTTTGACTTGGTTGGGACATCTAACTTTTGCCCTTGGACATCAAGCCTTCTATTTTCAGGACTGGGTCTTAAACTGTCAGATCTCTGATCCCTGGTTCTCAGGCCTAATGAATTACACCACCACACCACCAGCTACATATATATGTATATGTATATGTATATGTATATGTGTGTGTGTGTGTGTGTGTGTGTGTGTGTGTGTGTCTGGAGAGAGAGAGAGAGAGAGAGGCATATGGAAGCTACAGGGAAACAGATCTTACTTTAGTACAAGAAAGGAATTTCTAACAATTAAATCTGTCCAAAAATTATTTAGTTTACCTTGTAAAAAAAAAAGGGAGGGGCACACTCTATCACTCTACATGCTCATATATATATATACCCAAAATCCCAAGAGGAGACTGGAGACTGGAAGAGAAGCCATTGCAGTATGACCATCCACCCTGGAGGGCGGGTGGGTGATTTCTTGGTTTCTGTTTCTCTGTCCCTGTCTTTCCAGTGAGTACAAGCACCCTATAGCAAAAATCTCACAAAAGAAAATAATAATAATAACTGAAGAAACAGTTATTGTATGGGGTTTTTAAGTGGAGGGAGCTGATTTAAGTTACATGATTTAAGAGACTAAACAAAGAAAATTTCTTATGAAAGACATTTATACATATTGAGAGAGACAGAGATAGGAGTGTGTGTGTATGAGTATGTGTATTTCCTTATACTGGTACAATATGACTTCTATTGCAACCATGACAGGAGAAATGTCACAACTTTTTAGTTCTGAAAAGTCACAACCTCTTTGCTGTAATAATCAATGGCTTTGTACTTATTTTCAGTCTTCTTGACTCTCTAGCGGCATTTTTTAAATTTTATTCATGATAGAGTGTGTAGGCATATGTGAAAGGGAGGAAGAGAGAGAGAGTGGAGGGGAGAGAGAGAAGCAACATCAACAGAGTCTCATCATGCTGCAATCCACTTTCACCAGCTCGCCAGCCAATCCGTATCTTGGGGATCTGTCTATACACTTGACTTGTTTCAGGTCAACCAGGCATGAGATCCAAACCCATGGTCAGCCATGTGGCTTCCAGCACTGCAGTTTAGTATGCTACCAACTGTGCCACGAAGGCCATGCCTATAGAGATAGTAACTATTCTTTCCACTCTCTTATTTTTAAATTATTTTCATCTTCTTCTATTGTCTTTTTTCTCTCCTTCCACATGTGTCATGTTTTCCTAAGGTACTGATGTTTTCTATGTATAGATTTTTATTTCATTTTTGATGGTAGGATTAGAAAAAAATTTAAGTCCTTACTCATGATAGAATAATGTCATGAATATAATTAACTCTATGTCTTTGTGACTTCTCTATATGACAAGTAGAGCATACTGGTTTGTTTGACTATATCCATTTGCAAGTGTTTGGTTTTATTTTCCTAGTTGAGATGAGGAAGTACTTCAACTTTGCCATCTTATATTCCTAATAGACAAGGAGAAAATATTTCCAATTTTATTTTTTAAGAAGTTTACCTTGGAGGAACTTTACAAAATCACATTTGATACACCAGTGAAACCATCAATCCACATTGCAAATGTTAGAATATTTTATTACCCTTCACATTTAAAAGTGAATCTAAAGATTGTATCACAAATCATGCACATAGTATAGCTGAAGACATTGGCAGTCCTTCCCCAATCACCTACATATCAAAATTTAACTTAAGTTTGTAGACACAACCACAGCTGTTAAAAATTTTTATAGCAAATGGAAGTTCTATTTCCCAAGTTTATTCAATGGTTTACCTCAAAGGACTCTCCCATCTCTTATTAAATAGCCACTTAAGGTTTTTACCATTAATCTAGCTATACACTATAATGCATAAGGTCCGCTGCTTTATATCAGATGTTGCCCAACACTGAAATATCTCTCACTCAAATACTTATTCCCTATTCAAAATAACAAAAGGAAAAGTTGAGGTATGTGGTTGTTAGGTGGAGAGAGTTGATTTAAGTTACAAGTTCAAAGAGCTTAAACAAATACACTTTCTTATGAAAAGTCTAGACAAGAGCTATGCAATAAAATTTTCTGCAAAGATAAAAATATTTTCTATCTATTCCATATAATAGCCAAATGTGACTACTGAGCACTTGAAATAGGGCTAGCGCAACTGAACGATTCAAGTTTTCATTTTATTTAATTTTAGTTTGCTTACATTTAAATACCATCATATGGTTAGTGACTATTATATTGGACTGTCTAGTTTCTAGAAAATGTAAGTATGAATTATTCCCATGGATTCCTTTTTTTAGGAATAAGTGTAAATAGCTAAGTGCCAGTTGTCATGCTGCATGCTGAGGGGCTTTTGAAAGCTCCTTTAGAAACGCACAGATCACTGAGAGATGCCATATGTAAAAAAAAAAAAATCACAATGAAACTTTACTTGTACTTAGAGACATGTGATAAATTGCAGGGACTCAGCATATAGAAAACTTGTAGGAGTTATAAATGTTTCATTGAAGAATTTTATTTAAGCTAAGACACTATGGAAGACTAAGTACAAAATAAGATAGGGGGTTAGGGGAATGAGGAAATAGACAGGCATTGCAGAAAAAGACATGGTGTCCTGAAAGTGTTTGGTGTGTCTAGGACACAGTAAGCTATCATACATATAGTGTGTGGCTAGGTTCTAGGCCGATTGTGAGAGTCTTATATGATAAGCAGGAAGTTTGGGTGTCAAGTGGTCACATGGTACCATACACATCAGCATTCTGTAATCTGCTTCTCAGATTCAACCAACTATGGATCAAAAATATTCCATTATTGCTGAGGTGTTAATATTCTCCGTAAGAGAAATAAGGCTAGAGAAAGCATGAAAAGAATTCCGAAGTCGTTGTAACATCCAAATTTATTCACTCTGCGCAAAAAAAAAAAAAAAATAGTAATACAAAGGAATTCCTTCAGTAGTGAGTCCTACGTCTCCCAAAATGTACATCGTATAGGTTCCTGTCAACACTAACATGATTCCCTAGGCAAAGAAGTTCAAAGTTAAAAAGTTCAAAGTTAAAAACAGCTAGAGAAAGGACAGGGGTGCCAACCGTACTCAGCACCAAGACGTCTCCTTCCTGTTCTCTCTTCAAAACACAGGAAATACAATAAAAAGAGAAGAGAGTAATTTGATGGTCGCTCCACAGAAACGATAGGATTAATTCAAACAAAAGCCTGAAATGACACTTTACTAATTCGTCCCCTTTCCCTAGCACCCGCCTGCAGCGCCC